GTAAATGTCTTTCATCAGCAGCTGTTCACACACACATTCCTGAATGAGCGTCTGAGGTCGGTCCTTGGAGATCTGCATGCGTGTTTGGCAGCTGTGAGTAAAAGTGCTGAACCTGCTCCATTACTTTGCTTGAAATTCTTTTCTTAATCCGAGGACACAATGAACTGTGCCTGACCTCCATCAGAAAACTATCAACACAGGTGAGTCAGGGAGAACTAGGAAAAATAAATACTTCAAAGCACTATACCTCTAAGTACAGGCATGGAAAATATAATACGTGACTGAAACGTGACAGTAATCATTTAAAGAGATGCTGTCTTGAGCTACCACTGTGTATACTGTGGGCTATTCATGCTGTGAGCTTGTACTTGCCTTTTTCTGGGTGGACCACCATAAACACCAGAAGGGTATTCCAGGTAGGAGGTTCAACAAACTCTGAGTCAAATCCTGAACTCTGACTTGACTTAACCCTGAGCTGGGAAACTCTGAGTATCCGGTTCCAGAACAGCTGATTTGAATTAGTTCAGTCAACTCTGAGTAGATACACCTTGAGTTAAAGCAACACTTACATTTATGGAAATTTTACACTTTTCTTTGTATAAGTTAAAATGATATTAATAAACTGATGTAAGTGAATTCCACCAGAAATAAAATCCCATAATTATACCATTTTCATATGGTTTTAAGAAAACTCTGACCAATCACTGCATTTGGACCGACTGCAGTGTTTGGTCAGAGTTTTCTTCTGTCCTGTCTGTCGTCCCCACGTGGAGGCCTCCAACTGACGTAACCACTCACGTAGAATCTCCCCACCACAAGCTAAACCCATCACACCAGCTGTTCCCAGCATCCTTCTGGCGAACATCCGCTCGCTGGACACAAAAATGGATTACATCAGACTGTGGAGATCCACTCAACGAAGAGTGAGGGACTGCTGCGTCTTTGTGTTCACTGAGACATGGATGAATGGAAACATATCAGACTCCGGCGTTGAGCTAACGGGGCTAACACTACACAGAGCAGACAGGGAGGCTGCATCATCTCGTAAGCTCCACCAATATACACAAACAATTCATGGTGCTGTGATGTGAAGAGGATCTCCCAGTTCTACTCTCAGGATGTGGAGTTTTTGACTGTGAAATGTCGACCCTTTTCATCTTACTATTGCGCTATATGTTCTTTCTTATATGTTGCACAAATTGTTTTTAAATGTTTTGTTTCTTTTTGCTTGGGGTATGTGAAATGTCATTTCGTTTTTGTGCTGCGCATAAAAATGACATAAAGGGAGGCGGGAGTTGTGGATGTTCAAATTCTTTATAAGTGCTGTGTGAAATGCAAGAAAGGTAAGAGGCCCTTTGAGCATGTGCACAACCATAATAAAAAGCCATCATCAATGGAGCCCTGATACCTCGATTCACCATGGCAACCGGAGAGAAAAAGCGATCAACTTATTTTACACCTGTGGAATTGGAGGTGCTCATGAATGCCTACAGCGAATATAAGCATATATTTCATAAAAAAAAAAAAGTAACAGCGCTAAAGCTGCCAAGGAGAGAGAGACAGCATGGGAGAAAACTGCTGCCCGAGTCAACGTGTGAGGTTGAATGCACTAGTCCATTAATTTAACATTAACCACACTTAATTAAAATCGTAGCATACAGGTAAAAAAGTGGTGGCGTGGTTTTGAATAAAATCTGATTTTCATGTAGGTGCAATCTCACAGGGGAAAATTGCACGTGGAAGCAGCTTAAAATGAAATATAAAAACATCATTCAAACAGGTAAGGCATATTTGACTTGGCCATGATTGTACTTTTCTTTAGTTTTATTCATATTTGATTTATTAAACAAAGTAGCTTAAATAACTTAATTCAGTGGCTATTTCATTATTGTAGGTCACTAGAAATTTAAACCCCCCAGAAAACTTTCGACTTGTATGTCCTCTTGCCTGATATCCTGCTCAGTAACATTTGAGTTCTACTCAGCCAACAGAAAGAAGGCAGAGGCCCACAAAAAAGGTGGAGGGCCACCACCACCTCTGACAGAGGCTGAGGAGCTGGCCCTGAGCTTCGACAAAAGTGCCTATGTACGTGTGTATGTACAGTATAATATGCGAGTGCAGGTATATATATGTGTGTGTGTATGTGTACATATATACAGTGTTGGGTAAGGGTTACTTTAAAAGTAATCAAAGTACATTACTGCGTTACTTTTTAAAAAAGTAACAAGTTACTTTACTGCGTTACTCCCTGAGTAAAGTAACTCAATTACTTTAAAAGTACTTGCAATGTTACTCCCTGAGAAACGTAACTCAAACACTCAAGTCTGATGGCTGTGGGTATAAAAGAGAGTGAGTGTGTGTGAGAAATAAACTCAATCAACAATCAAGCTTTTTCTTTATTAAAATATATTAATAAATTTATTAATATGCTATACTATGTTTTGTATTGTGTATACTGTGTTTATACAGTATATATATGTGTGTGT